GTTCTCTTCGACAACGATTCAAAGGAATGACGACAACATTAATGTTGCATTGCTGATTAAAACTACCATAATTACATTGAATTTCAATAAGTGCTTGAAACGCAGGCTCACTCAAATTGCTAACATCGTAAAAGTAGGCTTGAATCATAAGGACATTTTAATGGATAGACTAAGGAGCTATTCCTTTTGTGCATCAATACGAGTCAAGGTTTTTACGATACTTCAAGATTCATATAACAGGATCAGTGACCACCTGTAAAGACTGGTGCGGGTGATTAAATGTATATTCGTATCTATGTTTCTAATGGTTCTCTTCTCACGTGATAATTTGAAACCCTTGTGATATAACAGTGGTCGTAAGTATAGCTAAAATAATATATAGGTAACTCCAAACACATTTAATTTTACAATCAGCCCGTTTTATAACTTTGCGTTCTACTGTTACACACTTCGACAACATGAAATCTAATACTCAAAGGCTACAATCTATTTTTCGAAAGCAATAAACTACAGATTTTGAGGACAGTGTGCATATCTGCCAAGGTGACGCATTGTGTCTTCATGTGCAACTTTAACATACCTGGAGTTATCTACATTAAGATACGTGCCCGAACGTACATTATTTGGAAGAAACTTTGACTATTACGTAAATTATTATTGCATCCAATTTCAACGATAAATTACTGAAGGCTTGGTTGACAATTTACAAACGGCATTTCGGGTCGTCGCTTAGACGAGACTTAATTCTATTGATCCGCTAAAGGATGTTTCTGTCACATAAAACAACTTTAATCTCATAGCACTCAAGCAGATGGAGAGGTTTTTCTTATTTCACGGGTGTCCGTATTGTCATTGCCAGCGATATTACTTAAGGAGAAGCAATGCGAATGTCGTTAAGCTATCGGAACGACATATGCATAAGAGGAGTGCAACTGTGCGGCATAAGGCAGAAACAAACGCTTACTTTTTTTATACATATTGTGAGAGTGGAGGGTGCTACTGGAAGTGCAGGACATGCTTACCCTTCGTCCCAGTCGTCTAAGGCGCCGCGATTCGCTGTGCAGAGCGGCGTCCCTTGGGCACGCCAGAGACCTATGACAGAGACCTATGACAACGACACTCGCTCGCCCCTGTAGAACACGAGCTGCTCCATCTCTACCGGAACGGGCGACACGGGTGGCCCAGTCGCTGAGCAAAGTTGCGTCCCTTGGGCACGCCAGAAACCTCTGAGTGTGGGTTCGAATCACGGTTCGCCCCGCTTATTTTTCTAGGTTTGTCAGCACCATACCCGTGCTCGTGGGTTTCGTCGAAGTGGTAAACGTCCGAGACCTGCATCACTTCGGACTTTCCTCCCACATTAAGCTGACACGCCGCGATATAACTGGAATACTGTTAAAAGCGGCGTTAACCCCAACTCACTCACTCACTCACTCATTACTGATTTTCCAGTGATCCATTCATAGTATTGTCATCACTATTTCTCCTTTTACGCCCAAAGGAATCTGTTTCGACAGATAATCAAGACAGATTCTTTTTTGGCGTTGACGTTATATATTTGGCTATAATCGGAATCGTATAGTTGACTCTTACTGTAGTTAATTTCTTAATATGACCATGGAAACGGTTTGTCACTTTAATTTATTATGTATAATTATTGTGTACACGAAGGTTATTCGTGACTATCCTTCCATACTGCCAATTGTGTTTCTCATGCACACGTGATTATCATGGTTCAATCATTTAGACAATGTTCATACAGATGGTGATTTTGCAAAACAGTTAGTTTGATCTTGGCATAATCGCACTGTACTTTCGAGTGTTGGTAATTATCCAAATAACTACTCTCAGCCAGGTCACAATGCGATGACAAGGACGCTCGAACCTGACCCCTTCGGATCTTTGACCTTGTTTAGTTTTACCAAAATTCATATTCGAAAGAAATATCGACCGAAATATATTGCCGCTCGCAGACGCCATGTTGTTTTCTAGCAGACGAAGTAAATACTGGCCATGTGACAGGCCTATAGGTATCAAATGACCATCAGTGTTCGAGGTCAGTGTCAAGTGTTTTTAAGCAAACTTTTTTTTATCAGTTTTCTGTTGTTAGGTCAGAATTGAAATGCATTTTTCCGTCACGTGGTATGAATTAAGCAGTGAAATTAAAAGATTCTTAAAGACGTATAATAATTACCTGTAACGCTTTGGAAAGAGCGTATGTCATATAGGTTCATAAAGTGCTGATAAGAATGAGCCACAATCGACAGGTGGATATTTGAGAAAATGCACTCTTCCCAGTATCCGAAATAAAGGCAAAGAAAATGTCGGCGAAAGGTTACAAGACAGCAATGTAGAATAACAATGAGCAGGTTGAAATATACTGAACTAAATTTAAAACTTCACAATCCTAAAATTTTAACATTTTGACCAGTTATCATTGTGTATTTTAACAGTAATGGCCACGTATTGTCTTCAGATAACACCCGTTTTTTGTGCAGGTGAATCGATCAAAATCATGTGCACAGCACTTTAGTGGCAAAAGTGTTTTTTCACGTGCAACTGGTCACGTGGCCATAATACCGCACGTGTTTTCAGCCATACTTGTTAGCAGTCATTAACAAAAAAAGAAAAACACAAGAAAACAAAAGTCTTTACGGCCATTTGTCATGCCACGCCTTTCAAATGTGCAACGTGAACGTGCCATAGGCATGTTGCAGACGGGAATGTCCGTAGCTGAAGTCGCAAGGACGATGGGTTGTAGTCGACGGACTGTTTATGATTTACAGACGCGTCTACAGCAAACGGGTACCACCGCTGATCGCCCTCGGCCAGGTCGATCACGTGTGACGTCACATGCAGAGGATCAGCAGATTGTCTTACGTCATCTCCGTAACCGATTTTTGACGGCTACATCAACCAGAAATGAACTGTTTAGGGGTAGACTGAGTGCGCAAACTGTTCGAAACCGTCTGAGAACTGCTCACCTTCAAGCACGACGGCCATACTGCGGGCCGATTCTGACTCAATTACACAGACGTCAACGTCAATTGTGGGCACAGCGACACTTACGATGGACTCAGAGGAATTGGAATCAAGTCGTCCTCAGTGATGAATCCCGATTTAATCTTCGATTTGCTGATGGTAGGGCGAGGGTGTGGAGGCGCCGTCATGAACGTTACGCCCAGTGTTGTTTACAGGAAGTTGACAGATTTCGAGGCGGAAGTGTCGTGGTGTGGGGCGCTTTCTGTGGCAATGCACGTTCCAGGCTTCTTGTCATCCGTGGCAACCTCAACGCTGCTGCTTACCGCGACCAGGTACTGGCACCAGAACTTCTGCCTTTTATAGCAGCACATGGACCCGGTTTGATCTACCAACACGACAATGCCAGACCCAACACAGCAATTTTGACAAGGAATTTCCTTCAGAATGCGGGAGTCAACGTCATGGTCTTGCCGTCAAGGTCTCCCGACCTCAATCTCAACGAACACGTCTGGGATGCTCTTGGCAGAAGTCTGCGCACTCTCCAGAACCAACCACAGAATTTGCAAGATCTTGGCACCATTTTGCAGCAACACTGGCGTCGTCTTCCCAATCATGTGTTCACAAGCATCACAAGGTCCATGCGGAGGCGTTGTGTGGCAGTTATCAACGCACATGGTGGCTATACACGCTACTGAACTTGTGTGCCATCAGATTCTCGTGCTTGGGACTTATGATTTAAACTGTTGATGTTATTACCGAATACCGTAGGTGCTTGGAACAAATTATGGTTACCACCGTTAATTAAAATCCTTCTTTGGACATTAATGATTAAAAATTACTTTCTCTGATACATGTTGTATATCATATATGAGATCCTTTTTTAAAATGTGAAGTTTTTAATTTGACTCAGTATACATATAATATATTATGTTTTTGTATGGATATGTAAAGAAGTTAAAATATTAGCACAGTATTTGGAAAATTAATAGAATTAAACGTTTGCTACATTTGGTATCTGGAACATTTTATTCAGATTGTCTTTTCCAATCAATCATTGACATAAAAATGTAAATTTTCGGAGAAAAGCAGCACGAATTACTTAGAATTCTGTATTTCCGTTTTCGTTGTGTAATTTTGAAACAGGCAATTCAGGGTCTTGGCCGGCAACACAACGATGACAACAGACTGATATTTCTAACAAAAATATGTCCGGTAACCATGACAAATGCCATACCGTGCTTTACAAAGTCAGTTAACCTAACCACAGTTCATATTATTCCGTAGTTCCGTAGTCTCGTGGATGGAGCGTCTGTCCGGAGAACGTAAGGTCGAGTTTCGATCCCTTGGCCGCGTCATACCAAAGGACGTTTAAAGCTGATACTTGTTGTTACCTCGCCCGACGTTCGGCTATGAGGGGATATACATATATGCTATACATGTCACTTATACTAACTGAGTTCTTTAATGAAACAATTAATGTATTGATGCTTAAAATGGTTTTTTTTCCAATTCTGTTTCCTCTTTTGTAGTTTCTGCGTTGTACCAATGACAGCATCACGTCCACACAGACTTAACGACCTTATCATTACGAGTTCCTAACTTGCACAGATTTGGTTTTGTGAACATTACTTACTTACTTACTTACTTACTTACTTACTTACTTACTTACTTACTTACTTACTTACTTACTTACTAAGAAATACAGCAAAGAGGGTTTGGGTAATTATTATTATTATTATTATTATTATTATTGTTATTATTATTATTATTATATGGGCTGTCTTGGCTCATCATCAGCTCAGGGCCCTTGCCCCCTCTACACGCAGCCCAGACAGCGAATGGGACTTCCTCCATGAAGCACTGCGTTGTCGAATCCACCGACAATGTTTCAGAGGATGTGAAGATTTCCCAACACTGAAGCCTTCTGCATTACCGAGATTGTCTGAAGGGCTGTATTCCAGGCAGGAAACCTGGGTACTCTCCTAATGTCAGTCAATTATTATTTTGCATTCTTGTTTCAGTTACCAGAATGCCTGAGTGGAGCCGAATGTTGGCGTACGTGTTCGCCGTCGCTGCTTTGTCCCAATGTCTAATCAAGCCGACAGACTCCACGGAAACACGTGCCGCATTCTGGGACAACGCTGCGGGAAGACAACCATACAAGAAGCGCGACATGCAGTCCCTGAGCGCATTGCTGTCTCCACCAGATCGGTGTGTAGTCTTCGCATTATGTTTGATTAATAGTCACTATTTAGTGTGTAAGCGATTATTTCTGTACGCCAAAACCTTTAAAGTTCAGTTGTATCAAGGAAGCCGGGATATACAGTCTTGGCCAGGCAATGCAGTGGCTGACTGCATGAGCACCGATCCGGGAACGATGACGCACCTTCAGCTCTGTAAACCAGTGTAGCCAACCGATCCTCAGGTGTCCATCTGATCCCCATAAGTTTGTTTGTTTTTTGTTTAACGCCGCACTCAGCAATATTCCAGCTATATGACGGCGGTCTGTAAATAATCGAGTCTTGACCAGACAATACAGTGATTGACGTCATGAGCATCGATCCACGCAATTGGGATACAATGACATGCATCAACCAAGTCAGCGATCCTGACCACCCGATGCCTCTTACGACAAGCCAGCATTGTTTGCTGAAGACCTATTCTACCCCGGATCTTCACGGGTCGATCCCCATTAGTCGGGACTAAGAGTTACAAGGGACCCGAATCACCATGGGGTGTTATCCATTGGTTGGATCAATGACCCTATAATGAAGTTAAACAGTTAGTTAAACATTATTTCTATTTTTTTCTTATTTTCCCTTAACACTGACACTGTAGTTTCAGTCGGATCCTATAAGTATTGACACGTAGAGCGTCACTACATTTCATCATTGAAAGACATCTAAGCATAACATAATTGATATTTATATTCTTCCCCTAGCTGCATATTCTATTGCATATTCTAACTTACTACAAATACAGGAAAGCATCTTTAACTCGAAGTCATGGGAACTATGGAATATCTATCGAATTATTCGTAATTCGATATAAGAGACCAATTTCGTGAACACAATAATCATAGTGTCATCACTGATCTTCAATTATCGATATACATTATTTTCATCACTTTTTTGCCTTTTTCGCTCCAATGAATCTGTTCCTGCAGATATTCAAGACTAATTATTTTCTGGCGTTGACGTTTTCAATCTACCGAATTAAACCACAGTGCCCTTAAAGATGATGACGGGGCAAAAATGTTACATCGCTTTAACCGATATCGAGTAAATGGAACCTCGAGTTATCGTGATTCGAGTTCTAATTTAGGCTTTTCCTTGGCGTGAATCGTGTCATCGAAATGTTATCGTTTTTTTACCATATTGCTTAGTTTACTATTTCGGCTTACACAACGAACCTATAGGCTCAACAGTAAATAAAAGCGACAACAGGTAATCCATATTCAAAAGAATTCTAGGGTAAAAACAGAGTCGATTGTGCGATTCTGGCTTAATCATGGGCATGTGTTAATGAATCATAATCACATGGTGACGATATCAGGGGTTATCGAAAAGGTGAGTGTATCCTGCTCCATCAGTGGCACACGTCACAAACACATGCAAAAGCAAGTCAATTGTAAACCAATAAAACATGGGAACATGTGGTACACGTCAAAGTAGGCATAGCACTGGATATCATTTTTGTCACTGATGCGCCAGATTTGGAAATGTCGTCCAAATGTCGACCATAAAACTTTTTGAAAGCGTTACTGAGCACTTGAATGTTGTAAACTTCATCAAACAGCCAAAGAAACGTCATGCTATAATAGATACGGGATATTAAATACAAGAACATACTTTACCTTTCGGTGACTCTTCAGTTAAAGTTTGATCATATATGTCTCTGGAGACTCACCTGATACACATTCTGGGCGCTTGCTTGAATTCAGCAACCTTAGCTTGTGCGCGAATAAAGCGATTTGTTCGGTAAAGTGAATCTTTAAATTGACAACCTTCTGCTTACTTGTACCATGATTTGAATGTAAAGTGGTCATTTCTCAGTCCACAGTGCCCGTTTAACATGGTTGCAAACACCAGCAGTACGCTAACAACTTCAAGATCGCTCTTCTGCTTAGGATACAAGTGCCTGATAGCCAATGTACATATTAATTACACATTATGTCAGGTAATTCACAATTTATTTCCTAAAAAATCTGGCTTCGATTTCTTACCGGAAATTTTACTTTTAAGTGTTTTTGATTAACCTATTAATCACCGAAACAATAAATGTGATTTTTTTCCGTGATGTATTTTGTATTCAATAAATGGACCGTAATCGATACAAATACCGTTATAATGCCATGAAGATGAACTAGAAGGACCCATATTTTATGATGCCTTGAATGTGGCAAGCTAAAGGAGGATTTTGCTGTCTAGTCTTTTACACAAGCAACGCCGTGGTCTAGTACACGGAACGTCTCTCCGGAGCGCGTAAAGTCGGGGGTTCGATCTCGGCCACATCATTCCAAATAACGTTAGAGGTTTCTGTTACCCTGCCTGCCGCTCGGCATTAAGGGGCTAAAACAAGGACTGGTCAATCAGAGTCAGTATACTGTTTCTGAGTGGGTATTCGTGTTAAACTGCGTCATGGTATCTCAATGGGCTAGCACTATAACAAGGTATTAGTCCTGACTAGTACAAGCAGCCACACGCTCACACACACATACACACGTGCATGCATGTCGCTATATAAGTGCAATGATTTTGATTATATTAAATCCTTTTGTCATCCCACCACCTTCAACACAAGTAAGCATGAAATCAGGAGGACTCTATGTGGTGTTTCAACTGTCAACGATGTATAATCACAATTGCTTGATTACGATCCATATACCATTTATCAGTTTTTCTGTAACGAGGTAGTTACACTACTGTTCAAAACAAACCTTCACATGATCGCGGCCGGGACGCGGACTGTTCGCGTCATGTCCGCGAAACGTACTGCGTTAACAAACGTCCCAAATCACGTCCATTAGGTCAACACAAACGAGGGGAACTTTGGTGCAGATCTAAGTAAATGTTTAAAATCTTTCCTTTTCCTTTTTTTCTAACAGGTCTGACGTAACTGTGGAAGACGTGGCCGATCTGATATCACAAGTCCCGGCAATGGCCAAAGCATTAGTGCAGCGCTTCGTGGATAGAGACGGTACATCAAGACAATACCTTCTGTCATGCATTCCAGTTTATTTCTAATTCTTGCCTACAAGTACTTTACGATACAGTTTAAAATTGCATATTATAGTTACGCCAAAATCAATTCGCCTTTATTAGTTTTTGATCATTTGGCTGTTGAAAGCTCTATTTCGATAACACCGGGGTTATAATTATACTTAAATTGATTTACATGCAAAGGTAGTTAGTTATATGTTCCATTCATTTTATGCTTCTGTGCTTGCGTTGTTTTCTAATGTTATTATTACAAAGTACCCCTGTTAATTTTAAATTTATTGCAATTGATGTTATTGACAAATGAAGGCATCTTGTGTCCATTGGAGCAGCACGAAGCCTTTCCGGAAACTGGAATTCCTGATTTCAGGATTATTAAGATTAAAACTATGTTTTACTGAGAAAATAAACGTTAAGCATTATGTCTTGAAAACAATTTGCAGGTGCAAATGAAGTATTTTATAAGCGGGAATTATTTTTGCTTTCTCTCTTGGTGCATGATCGAAATAGTTGTAAATGAAAATGACATTACAACAATCTCATGAAACAATAGGAGGGCTCCATTTGCAAAAATGACCACCGAACCACCCGGTTATAAGTGCGTTAATATAGATTTACGTCGTTTTTAGCATTTACACAGCAATATCACGACGGGGATACCTACAATGGCTCAAAGCATTGTACCCATGTAGGATGTCGAACCCGAGTGCTGGGCGAGACCTTCGAACGTGCTTTAATCACAGGCCGAATCAGTTGGTAGAAAGGGGAGGAGCATATAATTTGCCCAAATTATCCAAACTCTTGCAAAATGTAAAGTAAGTCTTGTAATGAGCCTAAGTAAATTGAAATATGGAATAAAAGTATTTTGCATACAGCCAATTTACTATTACAGAGAATTTCTATTCAGTAAACAATGTTTATAACGAACACGTTTATAACAAACTGTCCGAAAAAGAACTTATTTTTTAGTCCCGGCCATGTGTTACATATATGCTGTATATATTTATGCTTATAACAAACTACGGTTATTACGAAATAAAATTCCCTTTCAAATCCCATATAAGTCGTTTCCAACAACGGAACACACAAACATGAAGAAAACTCTTCTATCGATAAGCAGGTAATACTTTATTAAGAAACCATAAGATCCATCTTTAATACAATTCATTGTCAGCTCACGAATGATACTATGGTTATAACGAACTCAGGGACTGCTAATTTTAGTTCGTTATAACCGAAGCTCGTTATAAGCATAAATACAGCAAATGGCCGGGACATAAAGACAGTTCGTTATATCCCTCAGTTCATGACAAGCGTGTTCGTTATAAACGTAGTTTACTGTACTAGTGAGCATTTAATCTATGTATCATCCAGCCCTTCTGATGACATGTCTTTGTTTCCAGGAGACGGACTAATAAGTGAAGAAGAACTGATGGATCTTTGGAAATGACACTCACGTAACGCAGATATAATGTGACGTCACTATGTATATTCGGAGGAAATATGTGAAATCGCAAGACATAGCCGATGGACTTTTTATTCTTAAAAGACAATCGAGTCTGACTGTCAGCAATCAGTCCCATTTCCCTTTCTACACAAAAACCCTGCCCATTCTAACCCGGACAGTATCCGCTTAAAAAAACAGACTTTACATATTCCACAAAATTATATTTCTTACTTTTAATGTATGGAATTTGGAGTACATGGTATTGTTTTATAGAAGTAAATTGTGTTGTCTACATTGAAAGTTGCTGAAAATCCATATGAGGCAATCTAACATATATACCTGTTTGATAATAACAACAGTAAATTTTATTTGATGGTACCTTCAGCCTTAACTATTACCATTTGTAGTGAAAACACGAATAAAGAAATTTGGTCGATACTTTGCGTTACTTTGTTTTAACCTTATTGTAAAGTGATGTATGTTGTAAATGATGTATATAGGTATATCCCTATTTGATACTGATTCACAAACACATGCTAATGGTCTAGTCGGACTCTAAACCAGCAGATATTTCTTATGGTTATGGGAATGGTTTCGACGCTTTTATTTACTTGCCATTACTCAAAGGACGCTCATATGTAAAATTGATTGCATCCACGTTATCTCTTCGGACATGGGGCGAGACTGCAAAAACATTTACCAATCACATCTACTTCCTAGAGAGTCTATACAGTACAGGCTTTGTGCTCACACATCTGGTGATGCGGATCTACAACCAGACGGATGGTATTAACAAAAAACGATTGTACGATTCCGACTACGTTATAAGTATGTGTTTATCAATTACTAATAAACAGTTGTGATTCCCGATTTTCACGAGGTTAGCGTATCCTGCCCCACCGGTTGCACCCGTCACAAACCCATGCAACGGCAAGTTAATTCTAAACCAATAATTCTTACCTGAAAACAAACGGGAACATATGGTACAAGTAGGGCATCATTTTGGTCATTAATGCGTAAAATTTGGAAATATCCTCCACATATCTTATTTAATACGTTTTACTTAGGCCTGGATTCTATAACCATGATCAAACACCGTTTTAGCAAGAGCCTCATGATGCTGTTGAAATCTTCGTGGAAAGCGCATGGTCGATTGTACCAAAGATGGCGTGAAATGTAGAATCCAAAGGATGAAGCTGTTGGAATATTGCTTGACGTAAAGTGAAAGTTGACTGTTGTAAGCTGCTGTGCCAAATGAGCTTTATCCGAGAGTAATGCTCCATTGAAAAGGTATCATATGTAGCGTATAGCATATCGTGGACTTACGGTTTAACCTATATCAGGAAACAATTTCGCCCATAATGCTGAAAATGTTTTAATCAAATATAATATGAACCTTCAATGCCAGAAAATAATCAGTCTCGTTTATCAATCGAAACAGATTTCCATTGGGGGTAAAAGGCATAACCATGGCATCTCTAATTTGATGCCACTTCAAAAGTGGGTTTTGTGAAATGGATATAGAGTATCTGATTAATTATTTATGAATTATATGCGTCTTATATCATTTGTACCATTAATGTAAATTACATCTCATTTAGTGTGAGATAAACGCGTATATCATATTTCTAGAATGCTAGAGTCATTTCCCAAAACGATTAAGAAAGTTTACACATTACATCCTTAGAAACTCAAACATGTTTCAACATGGCACCACTGAAACAACTTATTCAATCCTTAGCAAATGCTTCAATCAACTTCATATTTTTACACAAGATATACCCTATCCTCGGGGGGTCAAAGCACGAATGCAGTCGGTAAACGGTAAAACCTCAATTTGACAGACATACAAAAACACATATATTGTGTTATTATAGTTTTATCATCCGTCGTTGGTTGGGACAAAAAATACAATCGTATAGATTAGTATTTTTTAAGTCTTGTTCGCGAAAAGGAATAAATATCAAATGACACCAAAGTGTACCATAGTTTTAAAAGCGACGCGCACCTGCTATCAGTATAAGTATCATATTTCAAACCGACATCCTGCACCACTTCCTCTTATTACTGTAAGTAAATTTGGTCTTACCTTAAACTGATGCCTATACTATCGACATGTACAAATCCTTGAAATAAGAAATATGTCTCAAATGAAAGAAATCATCCTCACCTGTGCGTCCTGTCTCCTTACTGGTTCACGGCAAGTCGCTAGATCTACCTAACAGGTAAAGCTATAAGATGTCAGATAGGAGCGTGGGATATCGATGGCATCCAGTCACAGGGTTTCCACTGTCATATGATCGCCTCTCAGTTGCAATCAATAGAACTTTCAAGTTACCCTTTTCAGTGTCCAAATACATTCAGGAAAACCGGTCAATACTTAAGTCACTGTTTCCATCTGGGCTTATCATACGTTACGTGGCGCATGTCTCGCATCAGGACTGGCCACACTGTTGTTGTAAGATTATCTGCGTTAGGACTGTCAAAACAGATATGTCATTGAGATAATTATATGTGGTCGCGTTTTCCTACGATTTGGTATGAAACATTTTACCAAATGGATTTAACCATAGAAGTATTGGTTTAGGACATGGATTTTGTACCAAATAGTGTTCTTGACATATGGGGATCCCCTTGGTCATTTCCTTCCGGCACTGATTTCCAAGAATTTCCCAAGGTAGCGATTAGACAAAGGATACGTGTGCCTGAGGGCTTCTTTGAGGCATAAGATCCAAGGGTTGATGATTGTTTAATAAGAAATAGCTGAAAACACGTATTACCTTCTTACCGTATATGGAGTCATTCTGAGCATAGAGTAGATTATCAGCATCATTTTACAATTGTAGTAGATACTACTGACCGACTACACACCTTTCTAACAAGGTAAAATGTTACGGTCAATACACGATAACTGCCTCAAATCACGCACCTTCGTACACCAAATCATTTCTTATTGGCAATAGTGCATCGTTCATTAAGTCAGACACATGTGAAGTTCCTTTAAAGGTCACTTTCATTAAAATTATGAGATTGTAACTATTTTATTTGAAACAGAAGTCGTCAGCGTGGATTAGTGATACAAGGAGACACGGAAGGTTTATGTTCCTTCTACCTACCGTTACAAAATGGAGTAAGAAGTTGTTGCTCTTTAATAGTGTATACAATAAACTACGGTTGTAACGAACTCAATGGGATCACTAATTTAAGTTCGTTATAACCGTAGTTCGTTATAAGCATGTGTACAGCCTATATACAGCAACTGGCCGGGACCAAAAATATGATCGTTATATCCGTCACAAGCGTGTTCGATATTAACGTAGTTTACTGTTTACTGCATATGATGGACTTATATGTTGATATGACTCGGCCTTTTGTTTGTTTGTATCGCACTCACCAACATTACAGCTGTATCAAGAATGGCTGTGTAACACTGTCTGGACCAGATAAAACAGTAATTGAGATTCTCAACAATGTCCCGTTTTGTTGGGGTACGATGACACGCAATCAACCAAGTCACCGAGCTTGATCACCCGATATATTCAGTCGCCTCGTATGACAAGCACAGATTGCTAGGGACCAAAACTTCTAACCTGAAACCAGGGGCCATTAAAAAGCATGACTTCTTCTCATTACTAAAGAATAATGATAATACATTCAGATGGCTCTTCAACAGCCGTTTCGATTTGTTGTCATCTGAATGACTGTACAGTATTTTGCATTCATCGCAGAAAACAAATTCTTACAAAAACAAGGAAAATGGGAAGAACATATTTACAATGAGTGAATGGTTTCAATTCCGGTTTGAACAAAATTCCATTTATATCAAGACCTGTCAGTTTGATGTGGGAGGAAACACTGAATTGATGCAATTCTCAGATGTTTACCACTTGGGTGAAACACGATCTACGACATGGTGCTGACAAACCTAGAAACACATTCATGGCGACTGGGATTCGAACCCATGCATTTTCTTCTGGTACGCCTAAGGGCTGAAGCATGCACAGCGATCTGTGGCGGCAAGGTAACCCTTCTACCCACAATTGACAATGCAGTGACATAGGCGGATCCAGCATTTTTAAATGGAAGGGGTCAAACATATAAAACATCATCTCTAAAATAATTTGACTGCCTACAACATACTGCATTTGGTTTTCAAAAGGGGGAGGGGGACCACCTGGACCCCCCTCTGGATCCTCCTTTGAGTGAGGGGCGGTCGGGTAGCCTAGTGGTTAAAGACTTCGTTCGTCACGCCGAAGACCCGGGTTCCATTCCCGACATGTGTACAATGTCTGAAGCCCATTTGTGGTGTCCCCCGCCGTGATATTGCTGGAATTTTGCTAAAAGCGGCGTAAAACCATACTCACTCACTCACTCACTCACTCCTGTAAGTGATCTGATTCACTACGACTTTGTTGTGCATTGAAACCTGTTGTATCTATCATCGTGAGAGAAAGTACCTCAGCATGGATATAATGTTCACGAAGGCTTGTCAGCCATTAGGGTTTAGCCTGTTTTATGTAGAATGTTGAGTCAGATAAACCTGCTCTTTCCGATTTCAAAACATATCATGTATTGATTAGAAATACTAAAAACATATCTCCTCACATTTCAGACACGACTGGTTTGTTTTTACATATTTCCATACAGCTTTATATTTCAACATATATGAATGTGACATTTGCTAGTTTGCAATATAGACGGAGATGGAGTGCACAATAATAATGAATTCTTTAAACAGAAGCCTTCTTTGGGGTCAGAAAAAGTATCGGTGTGGCAGAAACTTGGTTTATATCAAATTTGCTTTAGTTTTAAATTAGATAGAAAATTCCATTAACAAGATGACGGTTTAAACAGAGTTACACGGATAACAGACTGAGATACATGTAGATTATACAATGTAGTTTCAGTACATGTCTTCATCATGTCAAAAAATATAATTTAAAGAACCACTGAATTTCTCAAAGTGATTATTTTGGGTTTCAAAACTAAATCCGGGAGAGACTACTTTTTTTCGATTCAAAACCACTTTGTGATAACGGCTTGCTAAAAACTTCAAAGACTTTTTAAAACACCCGTCATCTGCAACGAAAATAATTGATACATACCCTCAAAGAAACGCACAAAAGACACCATGTGTAGTTATTTCTCCACGGTAAATGATAATACACCGTCGTGTTTGTAACCATTTAGGTCATTTGACTAGGTTTCGTGGCGTGTTATTGATTCTAAGATGGTTGTTGTCTTTTCCCATCCTACTTGACACATGAAAACACCAACCTGTTTACAGATCATCGAAATAACGAGACGAAAATTGAAATGAAAACCTTTGCCCTCCACAACGCTAAATACGCTGGATCAATGGACGCCTCGTGCTTAATTATTAAACACGGGCAACACATCGTTCACGCCAAGGCGAATGATTGCATTGATGTGTATGAATATTAGTTTAATTATTGATATAAATGCGGGTTAAAAGCGTGATTAGACCGTGTTAGATGGTGCTATACATTTGAACCTTCCTTTGTCTTGGGTTAGAGTCTTTGTCTTTTTGTACAAATAATAAATGGGTTGAAAGTGTAATCACAAAACTCACCCATCACATATAATTACAGAGATGCACACGTGCATTTAACGACCTTGTTTGTTTTCGTGCGAATATGCCTGTTGGAACAATATACATCCATCCTCTGAACCTCATAATGTAGATTGCGTGAATATACAACGTCATCACCACAGAATATTCGGTCTCGATGATCTGCCGATACAGTTTCTATTGGGGGTTAAAGGCAAAACTGCGGGAAAATTATATGCATTGATCGGTGGTAATATTGTGTTCTCGAAATTGTAATGAATCTGAAAAAAAGTTTTTTGTATACAAGGCAACAGGACTTTTAATACATTGTGAATATGAGTGAGCGTTTTCTTCAAGTGGACGGTTGGCTTCACTTTGCGTGTGTTTGTGTCGGGTGCTGCCGGTGGGGCGGGATGCGCTCGCCTTTTCGCCTGGTGGCATTACTGTTTGATAGTGATTCATAAACACATGCTCATGACAGTCAGACTTGTACAATAGATTTCCTTTGGATATGGAAAAGGTTTTGTCGCTTTGTTTATTGACCATATATGCGAGATATTGTCCTTCTATTAACTTGTCAATGCAGAGATACACCGATGCTACTGATAAGTTTGAAATACACACTCTATTTTCTGAAATTAACATCTGTGACGTCATACGTTAGCTATGAGATCAACACCAAGTACACGTTTGCGCATTATGCGAGTTACATTAATAGCGTTTTTCAAAAATGATGGAATAATGTTCCTTTTAGCTTATAGCCTTTCAATTATAATGGGGCTCTTTAATCTTCAAAATTGTCTTCAATATTGAGAAACATTGGAACAATGAATATTTTATGCTGCCGTCTTCATATTTGCATTTTGCCATTACCCTTGCTTGTTTATTATCATACGAATTAGGGTTTTTTAAGCAAATAGCAAACATTTCAGAATAACTGACATTCATCTTAACTATATCATTGAAAAAGCAATATCGAGATGATTATGTTTGAGTTAATAATTACACATTTATCTTGAGGTCAATAAAGGTAGATACACGAAGAGGGCGGATGGTGCTTGCGTGACCTCAAAGAAACAGGAGATCATCAAGTAGGCTTTTTCCGTGTGAGATCACAATCGGTTTTTGTATCTGCTCACTGTACTGGTGGTTGTGTGTAGTTTTTCTCCCAAGAAAAACAAACTTTGCAAACGCCTTGCGTTGATTAATGATGTGGGAAATTCTCATCTGAAGTCCCAGGCGAAAGTGCATTGAATCGTCTGATGTTTCAACACGCCACCGTGAGGATTCCTTGTTGGAATAGGTCCTCAGTTGTCTAAACGACTAAACGAATGGGTGGTCAGGGTTGGTGACTTGGTTGATGCCGTGTTATAATATCCCGACAGTGCCAGACGTGTAAAATAATGTATTAAAAAGTTTGTAAAGTAAATCACCGGTCTATATGGTTCAGACTCGAGTATTTACAGGTCTCTGAGATATGTGATGCAATCGTTTAATTGGTACACGTGATACATTTGTTCAATTGGTACACGTGATACATTTGTTCAATTGGTTCACGTGATACGTTTGTTCAGTGGGTACACGTGATACATTTGTTAAATTGGTACACGTGATACATTTGTTCAATTGGTTCACGTGATACATTCGTTTAATTGGTACACGTGATACATTTGTTCAATTGGTACACGTGATACATTTGTTCAATTGGTACCCGTGATACATTTGTTCAATTGGTACACGTGATACATTTGTTCAATTGATACACGAGATACATATGTTCAATTGATACACGAGATACATTTGTTCAATTGGTACACGTGATACATTTGTTCAATTGGTACCCGTGATA